AAATATTTTACATAGCTATAATTCAGTTTCAAATTAAAATATTAATAAAAGTCATAAGATGGCCTAGATAAAATTCTTACCATTAAGTTTGATATTAAATAAATTTACTCTAATATTAAAGCTAACAAAATAAAATTGGTTCTGCTGAACGAAAATTTGCTATGTTTTATGTATATTTAAGATGAAGATAACTCTTGCGAATGCGGCGTCCTCTTAAGTATTTAAATAATTTATAATATTCGACATCTTGTGCTATGTGATTATTAGTGATATTTATGTTGAAGTACGATATATTTAGTCTGATAGATAATAGATAACTGATATTCCACAGTTAACGATTATGAGGGCATATTAGTTTATATTATATAGGTACCTATCACTTGTAGATATGAACTATTTTTAAGTTTAACTCTGCACGCATTCAAATTCACACATATTTACTTAGTTAAATTTTCTAACAACGTATCATACTTGTACATCTTTTTAATACAAGAAATACTAATTTCGCCGATTAGGTGTACATAAAACATCTAGATTGTTGTATAAAATAATATAATTAGGTACTATGTGTATACTACACATAATACAGAATATATTTTACTTGTTAATTACCATTTAACTACTATAATCTTTTAAACCTTGAAAAATATATTATACGTCATGTAATCTTACTATAAAAACATCATTAAAACAACCATGTTATTTATAAGTTAAAAAACCCTGTTGTAATTTATTGCTGTACATATAGAAATCGAAATATATACCTGACAACAACTTAAACTATTCAGTTTAGATATGCCAAATTACAAAAAGTAGTCATAATTTTAAATTTTAAATTTCAATATCATATTATAATGTATTACTAAATAAAAAATTATCTCATAGATTTGAAAAAAACGTTTAAGATATAAATAAAATAACAAAAAAAATCAAACGCTAAGAATTAATGTGATCAATCGTAGCATGGGCGTCTCTAGGGGGGGGGGCAAAACGGGGCACTTGCCTTCTCTAGAAATTTAAATTTCTTACTTAATTGTAATAATGACGAAAAATAATAATGTTCTATAAATAAAATTTATAATAACAATACCTAAATGTAATAATGACGAAACATTATATATTATAACAGCGGTTCCCAACCTTGAGACTATTACCCAAAAGTCAGGTTAGATATTCACAAATACCCCCGACCCAAAAAAAAAGTTGAGTAAAAAAAACAAAATATATACTATGATGATAATTATAATTTATTTAATTTTTGCAAACAAAGAAAATAAGAGTTCTCAAAACTATTAACACTATTAACAACAATATTATATTATTACAATTTCATTTACAGTCATAATACACATGAGTAAATGAATAATAAGTACTTAAAATACAAATAAATAGTTTAACTTTTACCCTCCAAAAAATCGTGTTTTTACCCACTAGGGGGTAATTACCCCCAGGTTGGGAACCGCTGTATTATAATGTACTATAAATAAAATGTATAAAAAATCTTTCTTTTTTTCTTTTTTTTTAAATTAATTTTGCTCCCTGTAAAATGTAGCCGTTGGGTTACTCCTTTTATCATACGATTCATGTCATACTTAATATTCTAGCTTATATTCTTATTGTAAAAAATAATTTATAGATTTTATATAAACTAAAAAAAAAAAGTTGCCCTCCCCTCTAGAAAAATTTCTGGAAACGCTCATGAACTGCAGTAACGAATGATTTATAAAAATAATTTGTATACCATAACGAACGATTGATGTGTATTATATTGTATATTCACTATACGTATAGAGGTCGGAGAGATTTAAAATGAAATAAATAGCCTGCTAATGTGTTGTGGTTAAAGTTCGCTTATTGAACAATGCTTTTATAGTTGTGTTTTGAATTTTGAAAGAAATAAATGAGAATAATTAAGTTGAAATAATATATAATTTGTATATCTTAATATTAGGTACCTATAATTTATAGCATCAATAGTTATATACAACATTACTGTGGATGGAGTGAGACTGATAGATTAATTTGATTGGACTAGATTATATATATAAATTGTATATATAGTATCGTATTTATATGCAGGCCTCTATAGACACATACCTATAGCAGCAACCTTTTAGAAGTTTATACTCATACGTTTTAAGGTTATACACTTACACATGTATAATTATTATTAATCATACAAGTTTTTAGGTTTTCTATGATATTGTAAAATATATTATGTATAGGTACTGTAATTGAAGACCTTGGGGCAATAACCAGACATGTCCTTTTTTTATTTTTATTCAGGAAACAAAAAAAACTTTATAAATTAAAAAAAAAAAAATTAGAATTTTTATAAAAATGGTATATCTAAGTTTTAGGGTACATACAACTTATGCACTTATAGATAATGCTTAACTTTTAATAATAATTATAGGAAGCAATAAAAACTTGTTTGGACATATCTTATTGTTGCACTGTAATGCAATATTATTTGGACATATCTTGTTGTTGCACCGTAATGTTAAATATGGTATGGACATATCTTGTTGTTGCACCGTTATTAATTATCATACATATACTCATTTCATTAATTAAATTTAAATTCACTCTTATTAATTAATAATAACATAAACATTAAATAACAATTAACATTTAACAATAACAACAAAGAATATAATATTAAGTATAATATTTTAATTTATTGATTTTCATTCTCTGTAATCATTAATTTATTGATAAACACGTTGTTTTACAGTGCTACCAGTATTTGGGGCAACAACCAGACTTGTCCGGACATATCTTGTTGTTGCCCCAAAAAAAACAACAAGACAAGTCCATTTATATTATAACTCCATATATAACAGTCGGACATATCCGATTGTTACACCATATGATTCAGATTTTTTTTTCCTATTTTATTACGTGAAAATGTGATTTTGACCAAAATATGGACATGTCTCGTTGTTGCCCCAAGGTCTTCAATTGGTAATAGCTTAGGTACTCCAACAGCCAACAGAATACCGATTTTTATAATTTTTTTATCACCATCTACCAGGATTCGGAAATATTAAATTTACGGTGTCGAATTTTAAGAAATTGCTGCTATTGTCGATTTTAATATCTAACTTAATCTAACAATAAACAATTCTGGATCCAGTCTCATTATTCACGTTTCCGTATGTATGTGTGTAATTGTTTTCGTATTCTTATATTAATTACCTACTTTATTATTATTTATTTATTATTTTTACTATCCTTCATTTTTTTGTAATAATGATTAGAAAATAGTTAAGTGGTGACCAGTACAAAAAAAAAATAAATAAATAAGTAAATGCCAAATTAAAAAGTGATAATTTGTAAAATGTTTTAAATCTCACACATATTGACTGATTTTTAAAAGTAAAGCTTCTACTACTTCTCGTAGTAGTAATTACTAACTAGTAGTAATAGTAGTAGTAGTAGTAGTAGTAGTAGTAGTAATAGTAATAGTAATAGTAGTAGTGCTCTATAGTAACAGTAGTAATAAAACACTATGAATATTAATATTCGATTAAACGGATGCTCAGGTTAGTGACAGTGAAACAACAATTAGTTTATCTGTTGAAGTTGACGTTGTTGACCTAAAATTACTTATGAGTCAAATGAGTTAACTAATATGATCTGAAGTAATTTTAAAGAATATTAAATTTAAGCCAAATTAATTTCAAAGATTACTAAGTACAATTTTGATACAACTCGAAAAAATTACTCTTTGATAAAAAAAAGTGAACAACCGATTATTGAGTTAAGTTGAGTAGATAAATATCGTACAGAAATATTTTACATTATTATTGATAAAATGACTAAAAAAAACTTAACAAACTTAAAAAAAAAAAAAAAAACAATTGTCTTATAAAACGTTTTGTGATATATTTGAAGTATTACTTAAAATCACATCTTTAAATTCTTTACAAATAGTTGAGTTGCTGAGAAATTGCAAAAAGAATACCAAAATAATTTGGACAACACTTTTTCTTCAAAATATTTACATTTGTAATCGTATTTATTGAATTATGATGTTGACATAAGTAATTTAATTCTAATTAAACTCTGTAAGTGTTTGAGAAAAAAATCTTTGCATATTGAAATATTTTCGAACATGGACATAGCACCAAAAATGTTCATGAGTGCACCAGTGTCAAATAGTACTACAGAGAGATTACTTTCATGTCTATTTAACATAGCTTTTAATAGAGAATGATATGTTTAAAGAATTAAATTGCAAACATTTAATTGACAAATTTGCTGTTACAAAATGTCGACGTAAACCGATATAATAAATAATTACCATAGTATACAAGTTTAAAGAATGTATTTTGTCATTAATTATTAATACAAATGGTTTAACTATTTAGAAATTATGTTTTAGTAATTAAATAAAATTTGTTTTGCATAATTACTTGATTAATATTTATTTTATAGTAGGTAATTAAATGATAATTCAGTTAGTGCAGTATATTATTTTAGTTATTTAGTGCGGCAACTTTTCACGGAGTCTACACGCAGAAAACATGTAAATACGCTACTATGAGTATAGAATAGTCGATTGTCAATTAATGTATTTGTTAAACTCTCACCACTCTTTCAAATGCACATAAATACATAATATTCTAATATAAGTACACTGTTAAATAGGCATGTAGATAAATTAAAAAAATAATTGATATATAATATTATATATTAATATTATTACATATGTCATTAAATAACATGTGTTTAATGGTATAACTAATTAGCTATAGTTGATATTCACAATACTTACGTAGGTATACCTATAGTACCTATATAAATATTATGTTTGTATAACTGTAGTTTTGTATGCGTTTATAATAAGTTATGACATAAAATAATCGAATAATTATTATAAACAATGTGATTCGTTTAAAAGTAAATATTTATTTTTTAGAAGTGTGTCAACGTAGCAATATTTTATTTTAAATACATACAATTATTACTAAACAACATTATATAAGAGTATCATTTTTTTCTCTAAAAATATGTTTAGTGAATTACCAAAAATGTTGATCTAAATGGTAATGTAAGTATTTGTCATGAAATTAATAGTTTGTATAGTATGTCACTACCTGTATTATAATATATTATTATTTATTACAAATTGTTAAGATCAATAATAATACGTACTCGCCTGGAGTGCCCATTTTTATTCAAGATATGGTTATGTTATCTAGGTTAAATTATGAAAATAATTGCTATATAAGTTTTAAAATTGAATAATAATAAAATTACTGCAAATGAATGACCATCGCCGCAGTAACTTTCAATTATTGACACAATGGCTATACAAAATCTTGATTTTTTTCAATTGAAAAACATCAGGAATATATACAGTTTGACGTAGAGGTGTTTTTAATATTTAATGTTTGACTAATCGTATTACAGCAAGTACTTAAAGTTGATCCATATGTAGTATGTGTATAATTATGACTTATGTGGTATTAAACATAACACACAACAATATAAATAACACACACACTGGTACAGACTCTGTTGAATGATTTTCAACACTCGTTATTAACTGAATTAACTTCATCTTTATGTTTATTGATTAAACTGTTCTAATGATATCATCTTTTAGTTATTAAGTGGCTACACTTTCGATTTCATATAATCTAAATTTTGAAATAGAATATTTTTTTTAAAAATGTTATCTACTGCAAGTATCGAATGTATTTTAGAACCTAAAGGAATCGAGAGATGTATTAGTGATTACAAAAACGTGTTTTATAAAAATATTTTTTATGTCTTTCAGAAGATTAAATAGTGCATTTTAGTGTATAGAAGGACGGACGCTATGATTCGAAGAAACTAATCACTACCACCATAAGAATCGCCCTATATCTGTGTATTTTTAGCTATGTAATTCAAGATATTAAAGTTTATGGTGAAGAATTAGTCTACAGTTCTTCGGCCCGGGTTCATAAAATATTATACTGTATAATCTCGAGTATTTTACGCGGACGCTTTGCGTAGTTGCGTCAGTACTCAATAATAATGATAATGGTTGTAATAATAATAATTATTATTTTTCGCAGATTTCGGGCACGAATAGCGCAGGTTGAATGAAGGCGATCGAGACCCGAGGATAAATATCGTTCTCGGATCCGACAACGATTATAATATTAAAAACTCTTACGTCAAAATCGCTGTCCGACTACATTATCGCAACTCTGCGTACACGTATGCGTAATATTTAATACGTATACACGCGCTCGGGTACAAAATTATAGAGGAAACGACGCTCGGAGGAATGATTACTGTTTCGCATCATCGTGTTCAATGTATAATATTATCATTGATCAACGACCATATTAATATATAACATTATAGGAGGTATACATACGCATAGCTGGTACCCATACATAATATTATAATAACATTAATAACGTATGCAATCATAGCGCGCCAGGCAGTCGTGTTGACCAGGTAGATAGTTACGACGTCGACGCACTGCCCTTTTTTTTTTTTTTTTTTCGAATCCTCGCGTACGGAATTCTATGCGTACGAAAATAATGATATTGATTATCGCTCATACTATTTTTAATTGTCGATGGGCATTATTATTACCTATAGCGTATAATTGTTTTATGTACCTACTACTACACGTCATACGACGACTTCGGCTGTGCGTCAGGACCGTGGAGCAGTTTCGATCCGCGCAACCACCACGTCGTGCCCTGTGGTGTGTGCAACCGAATTATGAGTATTGCGAAACGTACGTCGTAAACACAATAATAATAATATGTCTGCGTATAGTGTTATTGCGTGAACTGTCATTATTTTTTCGTGCGAGCCGGCCGGTTATTATGGTATACCCGTGATACGGCCACGGCACATCCGCATAATATCGTATACCAAGTGGTGTTGTTTCGATATATCATATACGACAGATACCACAACAATAATGTGTTATTACCTAGCCATAAATACCTATTATTATTATGCTTGCAAACAGGAAAAATTCGTTTTTTGAGCATTTTTTATATGCCATTATTAAATTCTTGCTCACGCTGGAATTGAAATATAAATAATACAATCTACAGTTGCCAGGTACACTGCGCTATATATTATTCACAGGATGTAAAATATTATGTAGGTATATGTATATATAACATGACCGCAAATCTGTTGTCTGTACACTAATAATAATAATAATAATATGACTAATACGAATATTATTATTATAATTATTACGGTTGGCGATGCGCTGCAGTGTAACAAGTGGTTACTATGCCGTAATACTTGTAAAGTTAATGAAAATAATATACCAACATCGGAGAACAGTGGTTAATTTATTTTTTATTTTTTACTAATTGCTTTGTTGCCGTCTATTTTTTTCACCATAAGTCGTTATGTGGTGTCATTTGGTATTCCATCTTAGCTGATAGTTATAAAACAATATTACGCAATATCCATTAAGGTCCATGGGCCTCGCGTATAAATTATTAAATATCGCTTGCGTACAAGAGACTTGCGATGGTGATTCGGGCGACACGTAATATAGTAGGTATACTGTAAATACGACAGTAAGTACCTATTGACTAGCATATAACTGCGGTTCGTATATTCGTTTTGAACTAGAAATATTCATATCGAAGCGAATAAATTAATTACAATTACTGAATTATGTACAGCAATCAAACGGTTTGGTAAAAGAGTATATATCTATTGTTCTTATATTCTCAAATATAATTATTAAAAATAGGAAATGCATATCTGGAGTATGTGGTCAGAAATTCTACTGTACAGAAAGGAAATGACATATTTATAGACTATAGTTCAGGGGTCGGAAACTTAACTTTCCTCTTCTCTCACCTAAAATATATACTGTAATACTATTGTCTATTGTATATTATATTTAGTTAATTTATATTGTAATATTTAATCTAATTTATTTAATATAATTTTATTACCTTTATTTAATAATAAAAATAAAGCTGTGGCAAAATACTGCTAGGTTATTGTAATAAAATAAATATAAATATATTTATGGCATTTTTGCTAAAATCTAACTTAATTGTTTTTATACCTACATGTTATGCTTGCGTATTTTTGGTTGGAGTCGAAAAGAATGACGATTGACATACTTCGCAAATGTAGCGATTAATGTAACCCGCGATTATGACGCGTGCATCGTATATAATGTAATGATATTGTAACTGCGTCCATTTGTAATGGTTTTGTAATTTTACTAATGACTTCTAACATAATTATGATAACTAAGAAAAGAAATATTTGTGATGAATACTTTATAATTATTTTTGTGTTAATTAGTATTTTTTTTTTTAGTTGAGAATAAAAGTAAACCCTCATGCCTAGTTTGTAAAAAAACAAATTCAGTTTTGAAAGAATATCACATAAAACGATATTATGATTCTGAGCATAAATCTACTATTAAAAATATCATTGGTGTTTTAAAAAAAATATATATCATTTTAAATCTTTATTAAAAAGTTGTTATATAATTTGTTGATATTTTTAAAAAACAAATTAATCAAAATAATTCAATAGCATGAACTAGAATAAATAGATATGTAATTGTTGAAATTATATCAAAAAATAATCATCTTTTCATTGATGCTGAATTCATTTAAAAATTCATGTTTTCTATTGTTATCTGTTGATAAAATTTGTTCGAATAAAAAAAAATTGAGACATAAGTCTTTTTTCTAATACTGAAAAATAAAAAAATAATAAAATAATGCAGTAATTCAAAGACCAAATTATTATTTTTAATTATTTTTACTCGCAACGGATGAAAGTACAGACATAGATACGTGATACAGTACTACTTTAAATTTTTATTTCTGAGATTGATGGTAATTTTAATGTTTATGAAGTACCAGATGATCTATGTAATTTAAAAAATAGGTACTACCACAGGAAAAAATTTCTTCAGAAGTATTGATAATTGATAAATCAATAATCAATTTAGGATTAGAATGGAAAAAATTAGTAAACATGAAAATAAGTAGTGGAAAATACAAGAGTAGGTAACTCAAATAAAGGTATAGTAAGAAGAATTAAGAAAAGAATATAGGAAAACGATTATAAAATTCTGATAAACTATTACTGTATAATTCACCAAAAGCATTATATTGTAAAGTTTTCGTGTGGAAAGAAGTTTTATGTGTTGTAATTTCTTCAATACATTTTATTCAAAAGAATGGTTATTTGAGTCATTATCAATTTCAACAAATTTTTATTGAAATTGAATCGAAATATGGAAACGTTATACATTTAAAAAAAAATCAGGCGGTTGAATAGATTATAGCAAAACTTAAATGGTTTTTAAATTTACGATTAATAAAGTAATATTTCTAAATGAAAAAGATAAAATTATTTCAGAATCCTTTATAATCAACAATAATTTACAAACGGAAATTATTGAATTTCAAAATTAAGAGGTTCTTAAAAATTCTTTTCGGGAATAGCTTTAATTTAATCTTAAATCTCAATATTATAGTTGCCTTTCTGTATTTACATTTAAGGGAATCAGGCAATCTGTATAAAAAACGATAGCAACGTTTACAATTACATATGTATGTGAGCAGATATTTTAAATTGTAAATTATAGGAAAAATAAACACCCTTCACAATTTAGCAATGAACATTTAAACTCGACATTTACGAATCTCAACTACAAGTTTGCAAGCTGATATTGAAAAATTAACGAATACCTTACAATTACAAAAATTGCATTAATTTAAAATTTTAATTTTTTAATATTTGATTGAATTTTTAATTTTTTCGTAAAAGTTTTTTTTTATACTTAAAAACCTATATTTTTTTTAAAAAGTTATAAATAAGTCATAGCTTATAAACATAGTTTATTTTAGTCACAAAATTATCATTATCACCTAATAATATATATAATGTGTACAATTTGTCTTTCTAATTAATACGATCCTCGACGGAAAGTTGAAAAAAATATGACTCACATGGTTAAACAGGTTGACAACCCCTTTATAGGAATCAATATTATTCTACGCGGTACAATGTAATTCGTCAAATCATCAAAAGGTTCTAAGTAAATGACCTATTAAGTGTATAAGGTGAATTAACTCTTGTTTAAACAGTAATTATATGTTTAGAATACCTATACACTATACAGCTATACCTTATATTATGTAAATACTAAATACGTATGCTCTTTACATGACCTTTTAATTTTTATTATACCTAATTCACGTCACGTGTGTTTAAGACTAATAATAATTGATATTATAGAAATTATTACATTTTGCATGTTGATGATTAGAATTAGGTATTGGTGGTTTTGGACCTAGTCAGAGTTTCCACCCTTCGTATATTATATATTTATAAATGTAATGATGGTACACGAATCTTGTATGCTGTTTATAAAAAAGTATTTACAAAAAATGATTACTAATCGTATCAATCTATAAGCATCATGTTTGACAACACCGTTTCTGATACCACAGGTATTATTTAACATTTGATTAATTTTACCAATTAGATTTGGTTTTCAATGATTTTTAAAAGTATTTTTTATTTTACGACCTCAAATTTTATCCACAGCGTTTAACTTTATATAAAAATATTAATTTTGAAATAATTCATGAGTTTTTAAAAACTGAACACAAGTTTTGTTAAAAACAATAGTAATTAGTGAGTATACCTGAATTATAACAAATAGGCACACATTTTCTTCTTTTGACCTCTCTATCTATTGGATTGTATATATATAATGTAATATAATATATATTTAAATATAAATAATATAATAAATGCATCTATTACTTACCGCAAAAAGGCATTCTACTTATAGATATTCTAACGGAGACGTCCACAGTACCTAAATGTTCTAAATCCTTAACGTAGTCCTAATTTTTTTAGTCTTGTGTAATATATTGATGTTTACCCAACTGCCTTGGACAAATAATAATGCGGACGCCGATAAATATCGTTAAAATAATAGTTTATTCAATGGGGTCAACAACCAATTACCTACTACATGAATAACGTGATATCTAATTAATATATATGTACATATATAATGGAAGAGTCCTATTAGAGACGTCATTTTTTGAATGGATAATTAACTTGAGAAAATTTCGTGCAGAGTATATTGTATTCCGAAGTTTCAGTCGTAGAAAAATTTTATTCACATTTATTTTATGGTACTCGCTTCGGTTTTTTTTCTCACTAAGAATCAATTCTGACGCACAGGATTTCCCGTCGTATTAAATTTAAGAATATCGCAAATACCGCTGAAATGACTAGACAACTATCGGTTAAATATTTGATTTCAATATCTTGTAAATTGTAATATACAATATAAATATAGATACCTAAATAAATAGTTAACATCGTCAGTCATATCTCAGGACATATGTAGAGTCAAGACTATACTTAATATTTCATGACTTGATGTATTAAATTATCGTTTATCATACTATACTACGCAGGAAGTTAATTTCAGAATTTGTGTTCAACAAATAAATAGGGCTATTTGATGTAGCACTTGTAACGCTTCGATGTACACCCAAGACCCAACTATCTACAAATTGTTTTTGCATACTTGGGAAGTTAGGTACCAATGTAACATATAATACTTACCTAGTGACTTAAACACATTATTACTTACGTATATGCACCATATAAGCATATCATGTTGACTTATATTATTAACTATTATGTTGTACTACGTTAATTCTGAGAAATATTTCTTTTCAAGTGCCTAGCGCCAATATCATTTTCAACAGTTGATTTGTATGAAACTGATTTTCAGACCGATATTGAACAGTGTAAAATGTCTACATAACCGTGGTTCACCTATCATCCAAGCATAGGCGTTACTAGACCTTAAAGTTAGGGGGGCTTCAGCCCTAGAATTTTTATTATAAGTAAATTAAGTGGAAGGCTCTACCCCCCATACCCCCATACCCCCACCCCACCAAACACCTTACATTCATTGATTATACATATAATATGAATGTAAATTAATATTTAATTATAAAACAAATAATAAACCAAGTGGTATTAACATATTATTAAGTTTTATTTTAGATATAAAGAATTTAACGATTTTTAGTTTATTGACAACTTCTTAGTAGGGAGTATTTGTGTAGTAAAAATTACACAACATGATACGTCTTACACAGGATCATTACATACAATAATATAGTTTAAATTAATATTTTTCCAAGATATTAAATTTAAAAAAATAAAACGATATTTTAAATTTAAGTTTAAAAATGTTACTAATATTGGCGGGAGTGTGGGACTAGGAATTATGACAGGAGGGCTAAAAATTATGTTGGGGGGACTAAGCCCCCCCCAAGTCCCCTCCTAGTTACGCCTATGCATCCAAGATATATATTTTGATACAAATATAAATTATTATCATTTAATTTTTAGATTTTGAGTAAAGCATTAAAAGTATTAATTTTATAGTATGTTTTATTTTATTTATGTGTTTGAATCTGAAAACACTTTCAATAGTAGAAAAAATGCTCTATTTTTCATTTCGTTAAATGTTGATTAAAATGTTTTTGTTTGACTAAGAAATTTGAAAATCTAATACAATTTTTCTCATAAGTTTGTATTAAAGCTTTATATAAATATTAAAGATATGTAGACATGATTTATTTTATAATCAATCTTATAATTATACAATTTATTGAAATCGCGAACATTTGGAATAAATTAATATTATTGAAGTTAAAAATTTATAAAGTGTTCAATAGTTAAAACTTAAAATTTAATTTAAGGTTTTTCATAAGAAGATCATACTGAAAATCAAAAAAATCTAAAATATATAAGTACACTAAAATTTTTTTTTATAGACATTTTAGGTTAAAAATTGGATATTTATTTAAACGAAGAATAACATTATAGATTCTATTAGATGACAATAACTCAAAGGTCAAAGAATTCAAAAATATTTTTAAAAAACGTGTAAAAATACAATTATTTTATCCTTTTGGTATGCATTTTATAGGATTTGTTTTGAAACCGAAGTAATTTTTTTTTTTAGTCATAAAATAAAAGAACGTATTTTGAAGGTTCATGTTGTACGACTTATACAATCGTTTAAAAACGATAATAATTGTAATCATATAATTTATTTTCATGTGGAGGTATCTATTACCGGTATCTACGTTAGAAATCCGCCTTGCTGCTTACAATAATAGTTAAGGACGCTGATCGTTTGTAATCAATTTTTAAGGTCAGACTCATCACTTATCCTGCAGTTATCCGATACTATAAGCTTTCGTCTTGTTGTTTAACGAAAAGTGAAATAACGTTTTAAAACAATCTTATTGTTATCATTAACAATCAAAAAAAAAAAAACAAACAAACAAAAGAATTGGATAAAGCATGAAATAAATAAATAATTATCAACTATGGACTAGTAATAATATCTACATTACGAATATAAACAACGATAATTAGGTAATGTTAAGGTGTACCCAGTACCCGATTCATGGACGAATCCCCGTAATACATTTCCCCGTTAGACATTTCCCCGTTACACTTTCCCCGTCCAGCGATTTTCCCCGTTAGACATTTCTTCGTCAAAAGAAGGATATACAGGGTGATTTTTTTATCAAACAACACTCATTATTTCCAAAAGTATTCATTTTTATTATTATAAAGAACTTCTAAATTTGGAAAACAATTTACGGCCAGCAAGTGTTATGGTTGATTTTGAACAAGCGCTTTTAGGTGCGATTGCAGACGTTTTCAAGGACATCCGAATAAGAGGCTGCTTTTTTCATTTTGGACAATGCATATGGAGAAAAATACAGTGTATCCCTGAAATACGAGAAAAATATATTTCAAATGCTGACTTTGCCTTAAATGTAAAACAGCTAATGGCTTTAGCATTTGTACCGATACCTGACGTTGAAAAAAAATTTGACGAGTTAATGTCCCAAAGTTTTTTTGTAGAAAATGAAGAACTATTGTTTCCATTGACAGACTACTTTGAAGATACATGGATCGGCAGACCAAATAGACGTAGAACTCGACGCCCACCTACATTTAGTTTAGCACTGCGGAATCAATACGACGTAACACTTGCAGATTTGCCAAAAACAAACAACTCCGTCGAAGGATGGCACAGAGCATTTTCGTCATTGTTAGGTGCATCTCATCCAACAATATGGCGATTAATAGACGTAATAAAAAAAGAACAAGGGTTAACGGAAATAAAAATCAATCAATTAATAGCAGGGCAAGAACAGGTAGCTAAAAAGAAAAAATATACGAAGACAACCACACGGATTAAAAAAATTGTAAATTCTTACCATGAACGTAATTTAAATGAATATTTAATTGGAATTGCTCATAATTTACAAATATAAGGTATTAATTTTTATTATAATTATTGCTCAAAATTTTTATTATTATTTATATATTTATTATTATTATTATTATTAAATAACATTTTACAAATTATTTTATGTATCTGTAATAATGTAATAACGTATACCAGTAGCATTCATTTTTATTATAATTATTGCTCAACATTTTTATTATTATTTATATATTTTTTATTATTATTATTAAATAACATTTTACAAATTATTTTATGTGTCTGTAATAACGTATACCAATAGCATTATTTTTTATTATAATTATTTCTCAAAATTTTTATTATTATTAATATTATTATTTATATACTTTTATTATTATTATTAATTAACAACATTTTACAAATTACGGGGACGGGGAAATGTCGCACGGGAAAACGTATTAGACGGAAAAATATTTTACGGGGAAGTGTTTACGGGGAAATGTTCGACGGTGAAATGGGGACGGGGAAATGACCCGTTACCTACCTATTATACTAATATTCAGCGCCAGCATACTATTAATATTTAATTTTGATTTTGATGCCGTTTTCTTATAAACTTTTATGGATGTAGGTTATTTAAAAAATCTATAATCATTCTAAATATAGTCATACTTTTCATCGTTTGTGCTAGTTTTCGACAATCATCTGCTTGATTGAAATTGAAGTATATAGGTACCTATGTAGGTACATTTAACAAACATTATTAATATTAATAAAAATATATTTTGTATTGCTTTTGGTGAAATACCAAGTTGGTACCTAATATACGTTTATAATATAAATTCAGAATATCATGGGTATACCTACCCATGAAGATCTGTAGTAATTTTAATACAGCTATTAAGTACTATAGGCAGTGGGTAAGATATAATACATACGTTACAGCCTTATAGGATATCGTATAATGTAATCATACAAATCAGTGCAGCACGTGCATTTGAGGTTGCATTTGTTTTTTCCAATATGTCTAATATAGTACAATAATATAAAATTCAGCGCGCATAATACATAAATATTGGCGAGGAATTTGTCAAATAATTGCAATACGCACAAAACACGATGATAGATGTATTTCCTAGGTATTTACGAGAGATTACAAAAAAAAAATTTAAAAACTATCAGTTGTCACTTTCTATTTAGTTTTATGTCTTGTTAAATGTATTTAGAATATCATGACTATGTATAATTATTATAACTCAAGAAGTATATTACAGGTTGGTTAGGTTAGGTCAAACCTAACTCATTTTATTAAAAGTTGCATATCATAATGTTTGTATTAAAATGTATAATTATCACTATTTAAATTTGATATAGACGCGGTGTAAGTACTATTTGTAAGATTGTAGTTGGTGTAATGGCACTGGATCAAGTAGGTAACTGTGATTCAAGTGTATTTTTTGTTTGTTTAAATATTATTTGTTTTATACTCACTTGAATAAGTTTTTCACTGTTCCACAAAATGAAGGATAAGGAAATTTAGGAAATAAAATGTATGCATTACAAAATAAACATTATATTCTACAATGTTGTACCTCTATAGTCAACACAGAAACTATATTGATTTCAAGCATAAACGATTTATCATAAATACGTGGAAACTTCCATGCATCAATAATAAAATATATGGTCCTTATTACATTTATAAATTGTTATTGTTGTGAAGCATTAACAATAATATTTTAATTGTGTATAAGTAAGTCTAAAAACGAAATAAATAAAATGATTCAAGAATAATAACATACGACATTAATTATTAGAATATAATTTTTTTTTTAAGAACAGAATAATTTATACATTTGAAAACAACAAACGATAGAATTGTCATCATTGCAACATTGCAAGTATTATTTTATTTTGTATTCAAAATTACATTTTTATACCAAATAATTATTAGAGGAAATAAGTACTCATGGAAAATAAAAGGAATCAGATCAAAGTATATTTCATAATACATTGATTTAACATTGTATATAATGCATGTATATATATATATATATAAAAGAAATAGAAACAAAAATAATAAGTTATTAAATAATCTGATAAAATTTGGTCAAAGTTCTAAAGATTAAACAAATACATAAAAAAAGTACTTAAAAAAATTAATAAACTAATGAAAACTATTAATCACAGTAATTTAACAATACAATATGTTAAATCTACTAAAACAAATGCCTTGTAGTTTTTTATTTTTTCGTCAATATAATATATAATATATTATATTGCCAAATAGAAAATATTTTTATCACAATATTACATTTAATTATTATAAAATCTGTAAAAACCATAACCGGGCAATAATAATAAATTTGTATATATATACTATATACACATTCACAGACAAATCAGATATCTTAATTAACTATTAACGTATAGTTGATCGTAATAGAAGAGCTTTTCAATAATTTATACAAATTAACGTGAAGACTTGAGCTTCCATCGGAGAAATATGAATGCAGATATACGAAGCACAAAGAATATTATGATCAGGGCAATAATATCCAAAGAAAAGCTTGCGTCCGTCATATCTAATTCTCTTAGTGTGGTACTCGGTTTTTTGAAGTGGCAATAAATCTAAAAATTTAAAAGATTTTAAACCATGTATAACATCATATAAGATATTGTTTTTGTACCTGGTGACATTGGAGGATTGTTCGGTTATAACCATAAGTAGCCAATGCTGTACCTTCAAAACCATAACGGATATAACTTAAGTATGTGATCCATCGCAAATAAATAGGTATAGCATCAAAGCTAACAAAGAAACCAGAGAAAAGCAAGAAAGGTACAGACATGACTGGTGCTAAGAACACTCCGTTCTAAAACAAATAGTGATTTTAAATTAGTTAAAAATAATATAATGTAATTATTACTATAAATTATAGTTGACTTACTTGTACATTCATTGCAGCTCCAACTACAAGTCCAACACTTTGAGCAACAAATGATATGAGAAGACAGGCTGATAAGAACATACCAAATCTGAACATTTCAAGTGGTTGTGAAGTCATGTAATACACAATACCCACATACATGACACAAAATATTGCCTTAAGAAAAAACAAAAAAGAGAATACATTAAGGTAAGATATTTTATAGTAATTCTTATTACTCAGGTAAATTTTCATATTAATTAGATATTAATTTATTATACTAATATAAAAAAAAATTACCTGGAACGGAATATCTGATAATGTAATAGCTAAGTAATATGATCTGAGAGAATACCATCTATTAAAATTTTCTTTGATCAAAACAGGCAATTCTAGAGGGACTGTAAAAATGGATTATGTATTTTACTAATTTTTAATTATTTATTAAACAATGAATTGGTAAACTTACATGACAAAATGGTGATTGTCATTGATGTGTACATAAGGAACAACATGTTGAAAAATAGAAATCCAAGATTACTAAGTACTTTGGCACCATCATTACCAATATCATAATACAATGAACCAATTAAAAATCCCACCAAAATATGAGCAAACAAACGTAAGTACATAAGAGTCTGAAATTAAATTATCCAGTTATTATTAATTAATTTAAACATTTTCATAATTTATCTAGTTTGATAAAAATATACCCAATCTCTTCTGCTGAAAAGTAATGTACGCTTAAGAACAATCCAAAATTGAGCAAATTCAGATGTAGCATATCGCTGTTGACTACTTGGTAAACCATTCTTTAATAAGGTATCAGTTGCTTCATCTGCATTATTTAGATTTCCAGTTTTTATTGAACTCAATTCTGAATTAAGAACAGAGCTATCATCTAAAACATTAAAAAAATTACTGTACATAATTATAATAATGATAAAACATATTTCATGAATAATTTATACAACATTAAATTACCACTTACCAGGTTTAGAAAATTGATTTCCTGCATACTGCAATAAACTATTAGAATCCACAGATTTTGATAATTTATCTATTTCGATGAAGTTTGAAGACAAGTTACTACCTGAAATCATAAAAAAGATAAAAAATTTAAAATATTTATTTTGAAAACATTTTGTAGTTTTCAAGATGATTAATTGTATAGTAATATTTACTTTTCATTATTTCTTTTTGGTTAACATTATTCAAATTTTCTGGTTGTGGGAAAGGTTTGCCAACTTGAATATCGTATTTTCCATTTTTAATGGCCGTCACTAATTTGCGTACATTGTCACCATACTCACCACATGACACTTCGATTACTGCGCAAGAATTTTATTAGTTATACCTTGAAATAATTTATTCGAGTATTGAATTTGACTCACGGTAAGACGCGGGGTTATGATAACTGGGACATTCAAGTCCGAGGGTGCCGAGGAAAGGGACGAGTTGTTTCGTGGATCCCTGGTAGACACATTGTCCTTCAGCAAGGGTGTACAGATGGTCAAACATCTCGAATAGTCGAGCACTGGGTTGATGAATCGTACAGATGATAGTACGTCCGCCACGACTAAGCGATTTCAGTAGGGAAATACATTGAAAACAAGAACTGCTGTCTAAGCCACTGAAATTATATAAATTAACATGTTTTAATATTTGTACGTGTTCGGACTTTATCGTGGTGCTGGTAATGTATCTAACCTAGTTGGCTCGTCGAAAAACATAATGGGAGGATTGTTTACAAGTTCAAGAGCGATAGACAAACGTTTTTTTTGCCCACCAGACAAATTGCTTGTCATTGTCCTTCGATGTTCTTGCAAACCTAATGTTTCTAATATTTCTTGAATCTAAAAACAATATTAAATTTATGAAAAATATCAATTTTTGTTTCTGCGGTTTTATAGATCTTCGTCAATCGTAAGGAACGGTAATAATTAAAATATAAATAGTACGAGTACTGCAACTAACCACTTGATATTTACTGTCCTTTGATATGTCTGATCCTAACTTTAACGAGGTAGCTACGTGCATAGCTTCTTCTACAGATAAATTGGCATGGAGTTGATTGTCCTGCATAATATAACATGACAATTTTCTGAATTGACTCAAATTTCTTTCATGCCCGTTAATCGTGATAGAACCTTTAACGCCGGAACATCTAAAAAGTAAAGTATAACGAGACATTAACACATATTATGATTACAGAATAGTAATTAGGCATGATTTTTTTTATTATATACAGTGGGAAATGAGTGTATGAGACGACATTAAACAGAACCAATAAATACCAAATTACGGAAAAAAAAAATTATTTATTTCGTGTGACAAAATATGAATTAACATTACAGGAATATGTAATAACGACCAATTAATGTACTATCGAAATGATTGATAAGTCTATAAACATTATGAACATATCATTTAGATACGCGTATATCCTTATTCAATTGATATGCCTATACATTCTAAATAATTATAATCAGTTTCTATATGCAATTAGATTTAACATTGAGTAAAAAAAATATATTTCGAACACTAAAAAAACTCCTCTAATCTTTTACTATTTTTCCGATACTAAAATTTAACGCAATATTTATAGTACAAGACAATGACTAAACTATAACCACATTATATAAACTCTTTTTACTTGTATCCCGTGAGTATGTTCAGCAGTGTGGATTTACCGGCACCAGACGGTCCCATTATGGCCGTCAATTCACCTGATCTCAAACGGCCGCTTACAGATTTTAAAATATTTTTGGAAGCTGAAAAACATGAAATAATATAGGTTAAATGCAATGTAAACAAAATATTTGAATTTAAGATGATCAGTAGCGTCTCAGTGATAAAAAGATTATAGTATATAGAAAAATCAAAAAAACTTTAAAACTCTCTGTTATTTAATGATTTTTTTTTTTTATCCTTAAGAAACTAAAAGCTGATATGTTAAATTAGTATATATCAGAGAATGTTTAAATCATTACACTAAAAAGTGATTTTGTTTAATTCAATTATTTTGCAGATTACATAATACACAAAATCTCAAAATTTTGTATCTTAGTCAATTAAGAGGATATAATCTCCTCTTTTTAATCACTTTTTTCCATATCCATTAAAAAATAATTTCAGAAAATTACTGCATGTTTCAAGGTTTTCTCTATATGAAATTGTATTGCTGTAACGCTACTAATCTCGAATTCTTTCAATATTGTTGATGATTTCAACACACATTGTAGTTGTACTACTGATTATAGACTTAGTAATTTCAATTTTTTTTATTTTAGTTTGTGAAATATCATCACAGTATTTTATATAAAACTAGCACACCGAGAAACTAAAAATGATTCAATAAGTCATACGCAATAGTGTAAGATCTGTTTTAATTGAAATTTACAAAATAAAATAAGTGTTTAATTATGCACATAGTGTAATACATTTAAAAAATATATTTCTTACGTATTATATAAATATGAATGTTAAATAAGGTCAATCATTACAAGTAGTTTCCGTAATTGTTTATACTTATCTATTTATATATATTTTAACATTAATATATAGTGTGTTATGCATACAAATATGATATTATGAAATATATTTTAAACAGCGGGTAAAGGCAACATAATGAGCTAAAATTAAAAGTTTATATTATCTAAGAACAGTAACTTACAAAGAAAATAGCAGTAAAAAAAAAAAATAAACAAACATGTCGATACAAATATTTAATTTAAAACTTAAGCTCAAAAAAATTGTAAATACATTCTTTTGAATGGTATGTCACAAGAAATATCAATGATAATTATTCTAAAAGAGGTTATATATTATATAGAAGGTATCTGCGAGTAGAAATATATAATTTGAATTAAATACCATGAACGTATTTAATCCGCTATACAGGACCTTCAAAAATTATGGATATACTTTGTGCACAACTGAAAATAATACAATATAATATGTACAAAGAAATAACAATTTTATGAGATTATATCATCATATGGTGATTTTTCCCTATTTTATTTTTAAAGATTTTTGTCCCGAAATATATGTAACAAATAAATAATAATAATAATAATAATAATAATATTATTATTATTATTATATGAAATATAAAGGTATACCATTGCAATACAATTTGAGAGATAGTATGATTAGGGGTTCTCCTTATGTCTGAAAAGTTGTATACTATAATATTATACAAGAACCGGTCTGATCGAGGACACTACACATATTGTGACCTTGCATTTTAAGTCTGCGAAGATTTTTTAAGTTAGTAAAATATTAATAGTCAACGTTTAAGTCAATGGTTAATGCATTACTAGTCATTAAAATTTCACTAAGAATTCTTCAAATACATGTAAGTAATGTAATACTTGATAATCCTTGTAATTTTGATGTGTTGTAAAAACAATACCAATTTTGTTCTTTAAAAGTCATAAGAAAAATAATATTACTTTAAATCACTAAAGCATTGAAGAAAAACATACGTAAACACTGTTTATTTCACAGACATTCATATGATTGTTATATACATAAAATTAGTTTCACTGAATTCAAAACACGATTCAGAACAAATAAATATCGTTTGCTCATAAATGTTCAAGATATTTTTTAAGTTTATGCTTTCTTTGTAGTTTCTTTGTTAGTTTCTGTTTTTTTTAATTTTAACAGCTATCGAGTAAAATAAGCTCCTTCAAGTACAAACTTAAACCTTAAGTTTAAATTTACAGTTCATAAGTATATCCTAAGTGCTTTTTAAATTATTTCAAAGTGTTCAAAAAATTTAAAAATATTTAAAAACCAATAAATACAAATGTTTATTAAATTATATACAGCACTTCCAAGAATTTTGATTTAACGGAACAATTTAAATATTATTTTATTTTTTATTTCACAATTTCAAAATATCCCACCTAGTTTGTACTCATCATAATAAAAACGTAAAAAATAATTTTAATTTATTTGAAACTATAAAATAATAATTCTTATTTATATCTACAACATTTATTTAATTTTAGTATTGAATAAATTTATGTGCAATCATTAGTCATATTATTAAAAGACAAAGTTTTTTTTAACATTCACAATGATAAATATTATCGAATTTATTATTATTCTTATAATAATTAAAACAATTTAATGTTTATATTTTTTGTATTTTTAGTGGTAGCACAATAAGGAAATTGCCTTTAATACATAATAAGCGATAGTCGCGTATTTGTTATTGAAATATACAAACGAGTTTCGGTCATGGGTAAATAGTGATTGAGACGCATCCGGTAATTATGGGTAAATGCAAGTTATTGCAAGTATTGGAGTATGTAATATATTTAAATAATAAAGTCTAAATTAAACGAAATAATAAAACAATTTCTAAATGCTCACCTATTGGTAGACATAAAAAACATACAGATAATAATTATCTAATAAACAATAATAATATATCTGTTTCAATAATCCAATATTTAATGGGTTAAATTCCAATGATTTTTTTAAATCAATTTTATTATCATTAATTCGTTACATAATATGTTTATGATTGAATATAATTATTGATAAAAGTTCACTTCGTAAAATCACGTTCAATATTTAAATCATACATATTATGAATCAATAATCGCCATAGCTCGAATAAGATAAAATTAAAATTAAAATACAAAATTGTGATTATATTATCTATAAATAATGTAGTATAACCGAAAATTCGTCTTTTTTTCGTGTAAATGGGTATTAAATGAATACAAAATAATAAATATTACTTATTAATTTGATAAATATAAATTAATTGGATAAACCATATCAATTTTTTAAACTTAAATCCACAATTTTCTTTTATAACATTTGGATGAAATTATACTATTATTCTATATGGGTAGTACTTAACTGTTTTTTAAGCAGGTTATGACAATTTAGTATCGTTTTTTTATACTCAAGCTTAAATGAAAAGTCAGGAAAACTTTTAAATAAAAAAAATAAAACAACAAAAAAGTATAGTTTTTAGAGAAATGGTACTTAAGAAGGCATGCCTCCTCCTCACTAAATGTCTCAGAAGTTATTTTAAATTCATATATATTTATTTTATTTTTTTTTATAAGCACGTTTTTGTAGTTATGATAATATTATATTTACCTAATATTAATTGATAATACGATCGTGAAATAACACAATATTATTTTTAATTCAATGAATTTCAGGAAGTAAAATTATTATAGCTTCCCTTCCTAAAAAAATATTTTGGACAATTAATTTTATAAATTAACGAATTTAAGTTCTTAATACTATAATAATACTAAAGTTATACAAATTAAAATATGTAACCTTCGATTTCTTAATGGCGTGTATAAGCATAACCTCATTTAGTAATTTAATTCAAAACGTAAAGAAATTAACATGTATGGAATTTGAATAGTACTGAAAAAATACCTAGGTATATGATACTGATATCGTAGTATTTTGATAACAGTAGATTAATGAAAACAATTAAAAGTTCATTCTTTTTATTTAAATTTTTATGAACATTTTGGAAAACACTGTTTTGGATACCTAATACTTTTCATGGACTATACTTATATATGTAATGGTTACAGGTAGGGGATACTCGACCTTCTGCCATTTCCCGCTTATTAATCGTCGTTATGTATTTGGTAATAAGTTATTATAATGAAAAGATGTTTCTTTTACAAACGTATGGGTATAGCCTAGAGTATAATAATTTAATATTTAAAAATCGACGGGAAAAAAATTACAAAAGAAATCGACCCAAGCATAATACACGCTATAGGTATACGCGAGATGTTATTGCCAACCGTTTAATAACCATACCTATAGGTAACTAATATTATAACGGGCTTGGACTCAAAAACAATAACAACTAATAAGAAAACAATGAGTAAACGCTGATTCGTCAGCCTTCGCAACAGTAATAATTTACCTACTGTAATAATATAATATGTGTCGGACATAATAATACGCGTGATCAAGATGAACTTTAGACACTTCAATAAATAAATAGTAAATTGTGTCATATCATGTTTTAGATTCCCAGTGCTGTGACCTTATATCCACGGGCAAATCTCCTATACCTACTAACGTTAAATATTTATACATATTATTATATCAGTTAAATTGGCCATAATAACCTCATTTACAAATTTCTACTACCTTTCATTATTTTATGCACCGTATAATTTTGAGATAATACGTTCTACAAAGTAGTGGTGAACGAGTGAAGACATAAGGGTAATGAGTTATAATTATATGTAAATTGTAAATAGGCATGTTCATGAAAACCAAGAATTGGAAAAGTTTCAAGAAGAACGCGTACCCTACTAAATTCTTTATAGCTCATCAATTAATATTTGTTGATACGAAGACAAACCGTATAGTTAAATTACACCGACAGAATCGATATTAAGATGGTCATTATGGTTAAGTGAACTACATGATAATGTTGTCTGCAATGGCCTCGTCGACACAAATACAATAAATACGCAATAAATAATATAACAACTGACATGATTGTATTCGTCAACTTGATTTGTCAGTTTTAAGCTATAGTTTATATATATATATATATATATATAAAACGCATGATTTTTGCACTATACTCATCTACATAGGATATAAATATGAATATAATGTATAAAAATATGATTGAATAAACACTTACTGTTTTTGGTGCCTTCGGTCACAGTGTACATAAGGTCAGAAAAGGCGATGTCCACAGGCGGCCTCTTGGGAAGGTGACTCAGGGTCTTGGGTTGACATGGCGTAATTGTCACTTTGACTGCACCGGATTTTCTGTCAACAGACACGGGATCCATAATTAAACGACCGTCTTGTTTCACGGCGGACAGTTCGTCCATTGGGACAACGATGGATTCATCGATTATAGTCATGATGAATTATCGCTGCAGGTGCAACAGGATTAACACTTTTGTGCGCGTTTTTTAATATTACGTCTCTAAATTTATAAATATTTGTACGGAAATCAATGTCCGGTTTCCGTTTGAATTGAATTCAAAAAGAATATGAAACCGATTTTAACTATCACGCATAATTTAAACGGGAACGTACAAGGACCGTTTGCTTGCAGTTCATCGCAACCACTACTAGCTACATAATATTACTACACTGACGAGCTTGACTACGTTTTTTTTTGCTTGCGCGCCGTAGTAGCGCGGCGCTCGCATATGTATAATGAATATAATAACAGTTGACGACTGAATGTTTTAATAGTAGGGACTAGGAAATAACCTTTGTTTGCCTTGAAAGACGCCGCCGTTCCCCACTACTAATGCTGACTCTATCACTCTATATATTTATATACGCGGTAAAATTATGCACACCATCCGATAGATAGGTAAATTAGTGAAATCAAAATAATACTATCCGGTGTGTGTGTAAATTTTTTTATGACGTATTATATGACCATGTTGGTCTATCTGTCAAATATTTAAACGGCACAAAGGGTAATTGTGCTACTGCATTATTTTATTAGATACATACAAATATACGGACTAAATTAGTGTCGATAGTGTGTACAATACTATAATATTATAATAACGTTTTTAATTCGTTTTTAAGCATGGCATGGAGCTAAATGTAAATCGATAAATTGGTTAGGTCAAAATACTACAAAAATGCACACGTCTTTTGTAGAAACACCAACTTTTTAAATCTAAACAAGACTTGAATGTTATATTTTTTATTGTATTTTTGATTACTTTAAAATAATAATGTATTAATTAAAATATATTATGTTATAAGAAGCAATTTTAATTGGTTACTGACATATTTACTAAAATTAACTTAACTTAAATACATCTAATACAAACTTTCATTCAAGGAATAAGAGTATTCAGATATTGAATACGAAAAAAAGTTAGGTTAACAATTGTTCCTAATATGTATTTAATTTATTCAAATAAAAGTATATCTTATACATCTTTTAACCTTTGCGTGTGTAATACAACTTTTTGAGTATACTGACAACGTCATTATGTGATGTCAAACAAAAATAGAATAAAATTCTTATTAATATGTATAATAGAAAAATATTTATAGGTATTTTCTGGTAAGTAAATGGTATCAGAAGAGGGTCTTAAGTTAAAAGTCAAGGATCATTTTCAAGTTTTTATTTTTTCATGTGCTTAATTTATGTTTTATAGTAATTTTATTTCATGTCCAAAAAATCGAATAGATAAAAAAATTACTACGACTTGGTAAATTTGATTTTTTTTTTACTTATTATAGTTTTAATTTGAAAATTATTATTATTATTTAGTCGATTGTATTAAAATTAATAAGTCTATGCGGTCAATATGTTAAAATAATTTAATTTCTCATTTCAAAGAGTAGAAGCAGGTATTAATATACGTTTAACAATAAATTACTTTAATTAATATACTTATGAACACTTAATTTTACTATGTACCTATACCTGGAGATAAATTTTAATAACTCTACCAAAAACAATAAATAATGAGATTTTTATTATTATTATTTTATTGTAGGTCATAATAATATAGAGTGAATAACATCGTGATTGTTATGAGTTAAACGTTATTGATTTAATAGATTGAAAATATACTTATTTTCTTAAATTAACTTTTAATTACACTGAATAGATAAACGAGTTTTATATATTACATTAAGCATATAATATATAGGGTATTTAAAGGAACAATAGCATAAAATTAAAATCACAGTTGAATTCAAATGATCCAGGATAAGTAAGCATACATGTGGAAGGGACCGAGGACATACAGAATGAAATTTGAGATTTAATTAAAATACTTCATGTATCTAATGTATACATACACTATAAACCCTCCTCCTGGTCCTTTAAAAAATGTAACTGGATCATAGTAAAAATAATACTTATATACTTCCGTTACTATATACCTAAGATTACATCAGTTAAATATGAGTTGGCATTTTTTATACTAATCACAATAAAAAACAAAATGTAAAACAATTAATTTGAAAATTAACCATTTGAAACTATGAGGATAAGGGCATTTGTAGATATCGCAGGCCGCAGCTATATTTTTTGAAATCGGACATATCCTTATCATTTTTAGACAATAATTTTAAACATGGTATAAAAATAAGATAAATAAATAACTTAATAAAAAAAAAGATTTATGTATTTGTTTTTATATTTTAGTTAACCTTTCCCAACCAAAAGACTTACACAATATCTAAAACTATTAGATATAACAAGAAATACATTTAATTAATTTTACAGTATACATTCCAAAGTGTTTGAAATATAAATAAAGTATTTCATTAAAATAAAATCTGCATACTTTATATTTTATGACCCGTGTTTGAATAATAAGAATAATATATTTTGTTTTTATTTTCACAACTTATTATGGGTATATAAGTATTTTGTAATTTATTAAGTATACTCATGCAATAAGTCATAAATCAACATAATTATTACAGATATCTAGGTACATAAGGCGAAATTAATATTATTAAGACTAAATATGCATACAGTACCAGACTATTACCTATATTGCAATGTAATTTATTTTGTACAATTCCAACATCCAATTAGTACAGGTAATACTATATTAAATAATAATGCGGTACACTCCGTAAACTGTGTATTATCGGTACTATAAATATATATTGTACGTCTCATTACACATTTTTTTATTTGTATTATGCTGTTATAATGATTTTTATGTTACTTAAAGATTTCAGTATATTAATAGACATTTTTGTATTTATCATTAATGAAAGAAATTACTATAAATTATAATAGATAAACATTGCTTAAATAATTTTTAAAATATTTAATATCATGAGAAAACTGAAACATTTAATACGCTTTGTATAACAGAGAATTTCATAAATCAAATAAATTATGTGTAATAAAATACGCAATTTAATATTAAAAATTATACAACTAAATCATTTTATGTTTTTGAATTTTTTTCATAAATACATTTATATTAGATACAAACTGATTACAATAAAATAATTACCTATTATTTATTGCAATTACGATTTTTCTAACACGATTTATGATCTATTTAAAATATTGGATTCTTTAATCGCAATTACCTATAGTACGTAGGTAGGTATAATGTATTTTATAATATATATAAAACCGTGTACTATACTCTATAGACTTCATAACTTCTCCTCTCACCCTTGAATTAAGAATCGCTGATATAAAATACATAGGAAGTGCATCGTGCATGTGTCGAATTAAGTACGATTAATTGAAATATAGATGAACAATGTTACAGCCTTAATAAATGTAATTATGTAAAACAAAATACACGCGTGTCGCTTGTATTGTATTTCATGACTACAACGATGTTCTTGATAATTCTATTTTTTAATTGCCTATTGTTTTAATGCCATAATATATACTTTATCATTACAATTAGTGGTATAAATTAATACAAAAATATTATGTATTACATATTGTATACATTTAGTTTCATAACTTTGTATTATTACTCAACAGACGCACTAACGCACAGATCGCAAAGACATTCTCCGTCACCCATCAACCTTATAACGTTACTGACACCAACTTTCTACTTATTATATTTATATTATTTTTATTCTAAAATTTAAAATACATTGTCTGTTAATATAACACTCTAAATTGGTTTAAAGTTCTAATATACATATGAATTGAATATAAATAAGTAATAATGATACGATTTAATGAATCCACAGCATATAATAAACATAACTTCTGATTTAAGTAAAATCATAAAAAGTTCAATTTTTACTTCAACTAAAATATTTGATTTAGACAAAAAATTAATCATCTATATTTATCTAAAAATGTATTAATGTATTTTTAATATATTTTTTTCAAAACCTTTCCATCTTAATGAGGAAACTGTGTTTCTGAGTAACTCATTATATAATAACTTTCTATTAACATAACTATTTTAATATCATAATATCAATTTTATAAGTGTACTTCAGTAGTGTATCGCGTGTCTTAAAAAGACCCAAAGAAGCAAAGCAACGTAGTGTAGATAATAAAAATATTAAAAAAAGAAAAATATGATGATTTAAATAAAATATTTATTAAATAAGCATGTAAGGTACGTTAAATAAAAAAAATATTTATACATATAACTAGTTCATTTTAATTCAACAATTATCTTTATAAAATATTTAAAAATGATGTAAAAATATCACGTTTATAACGCCAACGTATCAACAAAGTAATATTTTTAAATAAACATTATTATTATATAAACAATAATAAAATACAAGCACGTGCATGAAATAAGTTTTATCTTATAATACTTTCAAAAAACTAGGTTGCCAAAATTTATTAATTATTAAACAATTTAATTAAATGTATTTAAAAACTAGCAACAGTAGTTTAGCATGTAAAAGAATATTTAAAGATAATGCAAATACAACATGGATACTTGAATATAATAAATAAATATTTTATTGTAAATTTAAAAAAATTATATAGCATAATTATTTTAAATAACAATGAAATTAATAAATGTACGTTTTTGATATTTTCAGATATATATGTCCTCCTTGAAGAACGCAACAACAAAATCAGTTTTTTTAGATATTTTGTGTAAAATTTATAAAATTTATAAAATTTCATAGGTTTATATTTCAATATTTGTAAATACTTAAATTTTACTAAAGGATTAAAGGTAAAAAAATATTGACAATCTACAAAAAATGCAGGAGAAATCGCTGCATATGAAAATATTACTGAGTATTATGATTTTCAATTGCAATAATAATATAATACACCAAGGTTATTTATAAATGATGATAACTTTCAAAGATTATTTCATCAAATACTAAATATAGTAAACCAAATTCTTTCAAAAATTGATTTTTTTGAATACTATAATTTATGATTACCTATTTTATAGGAGAAATAAATAGGTAAGATCTTAACAAAAATGAATTTCGTAGAATTACGTACAAAAGAAGGTGGAAGAAATTCTTGTCTCTTGATCGAATTATATTTTTATACGTAGATACATATAATAATAATATAATACCTACAATAATATACAATAATAGCAATAACTAATGAAATATGGCGGAAGACTCTTACCCTTTTTCCAAATATGTGTATCATCAAGTACCAACTTATATTTAATTGTTCATGATTTATTTTAAAATATATAAAAATCTTACAACTATATGGCCGTCTA